AAAAAAAAAAAAAAAACAGTAATGGAACATCACACAGTAAGAAAACACTAGTGTCATCCAAATTAATCCATGTCGCCAATGAAGGTTCGGTTGAAAATACGAATTTTAAAGCAACAAAAACAAAAAATTTTACCTTATGCAAGGTAAATGGCAAGATTTAGCATTGAAAAATTTTAAGCAAGCCCTATACTATTACAGCTGACAACCAAAATAAATCCCACTTTAAAACCGTATCATTTCGTTATCTAAGACAACACTGAAATGGAAAGAAATCAGAAACATTCAAGACTTACGCACTTCTACACCGGTAAAAATCATATGAGACATATCAGTCAACAATTATATCTTGCTACAAAGCCCTCACTCCCAACTCAATTTCAGCAAATAAGGCGCAATACATGAAATCCCCACAATAATGAGACGGTGCTAAGTGCAGAAATCGGATCAATACAATACTGTTAATACAAAAACATCCAATTTTGGTTCCGTCGAATATTTCATCCCCAATTTTGGTTACGTCGAATATTTCATCCCCAATTTTGGTTCCGTCGAATATTTCATCACCAATTTTGGACAGAAATTTGCATAATGTAAGCGCACTTTGGATTGCATCCAACAGTGCTGGCGCCTTGCCATCATGGAGCACAAATTCCCGCATAGGCAACTCCTATTAACGTGTACCAAGCTACATCAGGTCTTTTAGTTGTTCGACGAATTGTAACGAGTGCTGTGGCGTCATACAATATCCCCTCCGATTATTTCTTCTTATTTCCGTTTCAAAACTCTTTCATTTGGTGACATTTTGCAGTAAATATAAAGGCTTCTTCATTTTCCAAACATACTTGATCACCGTATAACAATAATTTTGCTGGATGTCCACTGCCTTTTGGCGCCCTATCTTCTGCGTAAGCAACGGTCCGAAAACATAAAGACCGTTCAGCGAACTCCCATTAGAAAAAATTGTCAGAAGTCTTGCATGCTATCAATGGTGTTGCTGTAATGCTGAAATGACACTGGCGATTCGTCACCAATATCTTCAATTTTATCCTTTACATTCCTGTTAGAGGCAATAACGAGCAAACAAACATTACTGCAAAGTTAAGCAAATGAAATAAACATACCAGCAACTAATTGCATTACAGAAAATACTGGTTCTTATGCTTACACCACCGCGAACTGAGTTAGTATTATAAGATGCATGCGCTGTATTTTGAATATTTACCAGCAGTAATTTCAATAATAAAAAATCCGAAAGAATAGTCACCCGAAATTTGAAGCAAGTGGAGCAATCTTACTTATTACTACTTAACTGTACAAGTTCGAGGGACTTAATTGGTTCACCACCGTTTAGACGGTAAGCGTTTTTTCTGACTGGAAAAAGAAAGACGATACGAAGTAATGACGCTGGAGAGGGAGATGAGAAGAATGGAAATGAGATTTGTTGATCTGGTGTGCCAGACAACTGCGACACGCCGAAAGACAGCTTGTGAAATGACTCTAGCGGTGCCAAGTGGTTGCTGGACCTGTTTCGGGTGTCGAATTTGAAGGGGAACGGCGCAAAAAAAGTAATGGCACGGGAACTGCGAGTTGTAGGTATTCTAATAGCCGCAGGGTGAGAGAAAGTTCTACTGGCACCCAAATTTCTTTGCATAACGAGCTAAGATGGCAGCACAACTGAAACAGCGCTAACAAACAGGAGAAAAGGCAAGTGAGATGCAAAAATAAGGAGGGGGAATGGGCAATTCCACAAACCGCAAGGGTTGTTACGGGAGAAAACTGCACAATGAGCAACGGCAAACTGGAGTAAACATGTGGGAAGCCTGTATAAACTAGAAGTGTAGTTGAGTGGATTTAGCTTCAAACCTCTTGATTACTCAATTGCTACTTTTGGTGTTGCGAATCCGCAGGGAAAGACAGTAAAAAGTATAGCTATATATTTTCAAGAGATAAATCTCAAAAAAAACTATACCGTTTGCCCTACGTAAAAACTTTGCAGGTCTTTACGTAGAGCAAATGATACACGCCAGAGTCGAAAAGAAAAGCTTAAGTACAAAATAAATTTACTTTCATCTGGAAAAATGGTAGCAAAGGGCACCATTACTCCAACCAAAAACCATAGCATGAACACTATCACTCAAAGAAAAGAACAAATAAACAATTTTTTGG